GTATCCAAAAGTTTTAGTTATTTCCACTGAACTGTATTTCAGCTGTACAGCTTTGTACTGACAAAGTCTGAAACAAAGTTGGCATAGCAGAGAACAGGGCAGTACTGAATMACCAAATAGCAATATATGCCACTAGGAAAGGTTTTAATTGGTYACAAAAGGCAATTAAGGGAAGAAAGGAGTGAGGTGTTAATTAACAAAGAGAACCTGTCCAGCCAAATGACAAAGGTAGCAGTGACTGAAAGTTTTATAACAGCATCTGACTGGAAATGAGTCTGCTCACCTCCAGCTAGGTGCTACTGCACAACTGCTTCCCATATAGAATCTACTGTTTTATCCTGGTGGCTGGCATTAATTTAGAAAGAGAAGGGAGAAGCCAATAGTGAAAGGACATAGATACCAAATCAACACCTTTCTCTCTTATGAAACCCTCCTCTGCAGCTGCTATGCACTGAGGACACAATTGTAGAAGACCTGTGCTGCCACTCTCTGAGCTCTATCAGCCAGAGAGAGATGCTGAAAGCAACAATCCACAAAGAGGACAAAGGCCAACATTGCACTGGGCGATCCATGTAAATAGGATTTCTTTTTYGTTGTTTCAGTTTTTTTTTTAAATTCTATTACATTTTAGCCTGTTGTGTAGGGAGATGTGCATTTCATATTTATACAATAAAAATGTCATAAATATAATAACATGTAAAGAAATCAAGCATTTTACAGACCTAAAAAGCATTTTGCTTTCTGAACTAAAAATATATTACTACTACTACTACTATCACATTTAGTTTTAGTACAGGTGAGATAAATACACATGTACAATACATACAGCTGTAATTTTGCTGAAGCCAGACAGATTTCACARCTGGTATATATCAAACTCCAGTCACTTAAATGAAACTTTACTGGGTAACATTTGTTGAGAGCCTACATAGTTAACTCTTTTCATTTCTAGATCTTACAAAAGGAAATATGGTCCCTTTCTGAGTTCACCAGCAGTTTTTTCCAGGTTTTCTTAATAGTGAAAAGTGATCTCAGGTTCTGTTTCACATGAGTGGAATAAGGATTAGAAATCTCATATTTCTTTACTTTGCAAAGATTGTCTAATGACAATMATTAACTCTAAATGAATGCAAATTGTAAGGGCATCTTGGGACAATTACTTGAATGATTCATTTGCTTCCTGAACTTAAAAGGTAAGTTATGAACTTGTTTTCTTACTGTCTATATTATATAGATCCTAGAGGCAAAAGTTGTTATGAGCTAGCACAGTAATAATCTGTGGACCTGGTTTAAAGGTTGTGTGAGATGTGAGAAGATAAATCAAACCTGGGGACAATAGGATTATTTGGAATTATTTTTAGGAATTTGTTACAGCAACAAAAATTTGACTTTCTGAAAACTACTGATAAGCTATTGTAACTTCTGCTTTTCATCGGGTTAAGTTGGTAAGGGCTTGTTAAAATACCTGTTATATTACCCCTAGAGTAATTGTTAGAAAGTTTTTCACCATAACTTTAATTAACCCCTTTACCTAGCAATGCAGTGAATTTTGTGCCTGTCTCTTTAGATTTGTTGTGCCCTTAACTGTGTCTCCACCATGCTGTTACGTGACTGAGATTCTTGGGTCAAGCAGAAATTAAAATCATTCATTTAGGATACTACATGCAGTTTGTACATACCATTGTAWATTCTCACATCCTCTTGAGTAACGCTGGCATTTGCTCCCCAGACTACCAACTTGTGGATAAGATTTGGGTACTTTGCAGCTGCAATGAGTGCTGTAATTCCACCATCACTCCACCCCAGCAAGGAGAACTTCTTAAATTTTAGTGCCTTGATTTATACAAGAAAGTCATATGCAAATCATCAGCTGGTATTACAACCAAATATCAAATATTGCTTGAAAATGAACTGTAAAATTTTAGATAAAATACTACATAGCTGAACTATAGCTAGCTTTCATAATTAGAAAATATAATTTTCCTGATATATATAAAAATACTAAAAAAAGTCAAACAGTTAGAAAACAATAAATTGCACCTACCATTTCAATTTTCAATAACTCTTTAATGAAACAGTCCTGTTAGATTCTTGCTGCATTTTAAAAAGCCCTCTGAAAAAAAGAGTTTATTTGCAAGGGAGATTAATGACCTTTTCAGAGAGCCTGATGATATGAAGAATCCATGGATTCTCTTGGTGTGAAGCTGGCAAAGACTATCACAGTGTAGATGGAAAGCAATCCAAGATTAAGCTAAACTAAGAAAAAGAAAAATATAAGACTTGAAAAYGGAAGCCAGTAATCTGATTTACTGATGCTAGCTGAGCTAAAAAAATAATCTGCTCTGTAACAATCAAAAAATACTTAAAGTACTTTCTAAATGATTGTATCAAATTYTAGTGTCTAATTCACATTTTCTTAATCTTTTAAGAAAAAKTRTATTTTAAATGTTACTTCACGATGAGTTGCAATTSAAAACATTAATAACAAAATTCCTTCTTCTTGAAAAGGAAAGCTTAGGGCAAAAAATATGACAACTAAGACCTTAATTCATTCTGACCAGTGACAGGACCCAMGGGAATGGCATGAAGCTGAGTTGGGGGAGGTTTAGKCTGGATATCAGGAAGAGGCTCTTCACCCAGAGGGTGGTTGGGCACTGCAACAGGCTCCCCAGGGCAGTGGTCACAGCACCAAGCCTGACAGAGTTCAAGAAGCATTTGGACAATGCTCTCAGGCACGTGGTGYGACTCTTGGGGTGTCCTGTGTAGGGCCATGAGTTGGACTYGATGATCCTGATGGGTCCCTTCCAACTCAGCATACTCTSTGATTCTGTGACAATGCTTTCCAGTAGAATTTGAAACTCTTTTCCTCATAAATCACTATATGTGGCAGCGACAGGAGAGAASATCTTGTGTGTGTTATGTTCAGTGGGCAAAGAGTGGGAAAGGTAAAGGCAGTCATGAGAAAATACATCTGAATGTTGTAAAGGGATGATACTCAATGTTTAAACAATATTTGCAGTTTTGCACATGGAAACTTCGGTTTATGAACTCATTCACAAGAAAATGTATTTCAAAGCTTCTTACTTTTGTTCTGCAGAAATTACAGCCTTTTAGATATGATTAAGGAGGATATGGTACTTTTGGAGAAAAAAAGAGCAAGTTAACTGAATGAGTTGCCTTAGTGCTTGCTGGTGTTGGAAGTCCAGGTCTACTTTGCTGTTGAAGAAAGCCAAAATGCAAGTAATGAGAAAAACAACTACGGAGGGAGAAAAAAGTTTCTACTTTGTTTGTGAACTTGATGCTCAAGTGAAGCATAACTTTACTACTCAACTTGATACTTAGCAAGCTCCTATCCCTAAAAGGCTTTTCTCTTTTTGTCTTCATCATTGGTATTCTGCTCACTATAGTGTTGACCAATTTTAGATTTCACTCTGCTAAGGTATAATTACTAAACAGAACAGAAATAAGGTAGGGGAAAGAAAGGGASACGTAAAGTAAGAGCTGACAGCAAGGAAGGAGAACCTGGAATTTTTGTAGCTGATTAGAAGTTGGCCTGGTCTGCTGAAGAAGTAGTTAATCTGTGTCCAGCTTTGATTATCGTGCTGTTGAAGGGTTCTTGGTTTCTTGGCAGGTTTTGGGGATTGGCAGCAGTGCTTGTAAAGGTTAAGTTTTTTATGTGCTACTGTTCCTCTACTGCCCATAGCAAATTATGGAGCTCAAAGCTAGCTGATGGATGGAATAGTTGATTAAAAGTTTTGTTCTTCATGCCAGGTTATTTGAGATCTATTTGCCTCCTGTATTTCACTTGTTTACTAGCCTTTATCTTGATGCATTCTTTGAGGAATCTCAGAATGCCTTTCCAGCAGGAGGAATTTAATTTATCCTTGGCAGCCTTCAGAAAAACAAGGTGATGTAACACATGTGCTGGATAAGGTATGCATGTTTGCTTGCTTTAATTTTGAACTGCTCACAGTACAGGTGGCTAACCTAAAACGGGCAATAATCAGAAAGCTGGCTGCACAGCACAATTCTGTGGGTGATTTTGTGCTGCCTTTACTCTGTGAGTGAACAAAATTTCTTTTGAAGTCATCTCCTCCATGCAGGCCTATGTGAAATGCAATTGAATGACCACAAAAGGCTCTGAAGGGTCATCTATACAGACTTGTTTTTTTGGCTGATTGTAGGCTGGATGATGTATGTAAATCATTATACTCTGGAAATCATAGTTGGAATGATTCCTTGGGATTCATGCTATGCTTTGTAATGYCCTAAAATWGAAGCAAGTTACCCATGCTTGGTAAGATTTTAGTAATTTGTTGTTATATGCCTATATAGAGAAACATCTTCAAAAAAACCCAGGATGCTATGTCTCATTTGCTTTGGCAGCTCTAAATATTGGTAGGCTGCTSTCCTGTCTGGCTGGAAGCTACATGGTTACATTCCCTTTGGGGAAAGATCTGTTTACTATTTTGCATTTATTAATATTTGAACAGAGACAAGAAAAGGGGCTACAACCATTTATACTGCAAGTTTGTCACCTATTCRTGGCAGCATCTTTATTTTCTTTGCTAGTATAGCAGAATAAATTGGAGATTTACAGTACAGAGAGATTGCTTTTATGGTTAGAGGGCATATCTGTGTCTTAATCCCGATTCTGCTGTCAGATTTACTTTGTTTCACTAGGCAGAATACACCACAAAGGCCACATTTCCAGTTTCAGATGGGTTTTAGCAAGGTTATTGTTTATTACAGRAATACAGTTGGACTGACTGTCTGAATCTTGCCTCATGTTTTTGGAATTTTAGTGCTCTGCCAACTTTCTTAAAATGACCACAGAGACTGTATATCTTAACATAAAAAAGCCAAAATACTTGTTAAAACTAAGCCAKAAAATAGTGTCAGCAATTATAGGACAGAATAAAAGAGGAACACAGAAACACAGATTTGAATAAAAATTCTGCAAGGAGAAATAATAACAGCTTTAGGCCATATTCTTGATAATCACAATAGCTGTATTAGTTACTAAGATTTGGTATGGTCACAGGAAGCCTTTGATTTCCCACAAAAATTATTTCAGTAATATGCTGTAAAATGCAAAGCATCAAGTTAATTTTTAGAATCAAATGTTTCTTAAAATGGGCTGCTCAAGGMAAAATTCCAAGATTCTATTTGATAGAAAATTTTCTAAGAGGCTTTCAGTATGGTAATCCCTTCAATTACTTCATATAGACGTTTTCTACACATACTTTATGTAAACTTACATGRTTCTTGGCTGCAAACCTCTTAGGGCAGGGTCTTGAAATAAAAGCATATTGCTTTATATTAATTCCTGCTGCTGAACCTCTGAGCATCTTGCAGAATAGATGGAAGAAGAAAATGTTTCCCAAAACAGTGTGTATATGCTCCCTTTTAAGCCTTCATTTGTATGGTCTTTTCCTAACTGCYGTCTGCTGGAAACAACCTTCCTCCTTCTAAAAATTTAAGGAAAACAGCTTAATAAACAAATCTCATAATAGATTTACCTGCATAAGATCCACAGCATCTTTTGCATCCCTCTCAAAGAAATCTGGAGGAAAATCTCGAGATGGAGGAAAGGACTTTCCATATCCACGAGGATCCCATGCAACAACTGTGAAAAGCTGCTTATTCATAGACTTAAGCTGTGGTCCAAAATCAGTTTGACCACACCCTGAAAAATTACAATTTTTAAGTTTTATTAACCATTGTAATGSATACATAACATATATACTCTAAAGAGAAACTGGGGAAAACTTGTAACTTTATTCTAAAACACAGATTATCCAACAATTGAAGTACTCTTTAATTGTAACTATCCATTGSAACTCTCAGACTGGAAATACCACAATTAAAATCTTTTAGAAACATTKGCAGTATGTTCAGARCAAACCACTTCTGGTATGAAAGGTTATCAGGAACAGTGTTCTCACGTATGATTAAACACAGAATCTTAAACTGAGTTACCTGAGAGGGATTTATCTTTAACAGATTTAAAGCACTAGCATGGTCATTGCTTACCCGGGCAGCACTGTGAAACTGAAAGGGCAGAAATACTCTGCTACAAACTTGTAAGTGAAAAGCACTGTGTCAGACAGTTTTTATTTGATAAAGCATCTCTATGAGAATATCGGTGCGTAAAGCTGATCTTTAAAGACTTTGTTGCCTGAGGAAACAGTGGTGACACAGAAGTATAAAATTGTGTATTTTGATTTTTCKAACRTGTTAAAATAAGCCAAATACAGCCRTTTTTTTCTGATATAGAACCATTTCTATTAATAATGACCCAGACTTTCAAAGAATTTAAAAATTAAGTACTCCAGTCTATAGAATTAAGATATCTGTGAATTAAGGTAATCTAGGATGAATGTTAATTATGACTCTAATTTATGYCTTATTTATGTTGTGGTCATGTGGTAAAAGCATCAAATGCTATTTGATTAAAATGTGTACAAATTTAATAAGCTGAAATATAAAATTGGCTACCATTGTTATATTAAAAAGACCATTTAAGGGCATTTAAGATTTTTTTTCTGTTTACTTGGAGAAATCTGTCCTCAGACACTACCAACTGGTCTAAACTATAAAAGAGGTTTTAAAAAAAAGAATACATAGCCTGCTATGAGGAGATGATTACATCCTGACATGATCTCTTGYGAAACCATTTAATCGATAGCTAAAGTCAGAAGCAAAATATCAGRTTGTTAGAAAAATGCCAACACAAACTGTAATCTCATATTCTTACAGAGGCCTTGTATAACCTCTGCACTATCATGAACAGGCTTGTTATACGATATTTTTATCACTTGAAAATTATGCGACACTGAGAGCTATCTGAATGCTGTCTTCTTGGTTTTCTTAGTATTTTTGTAGCTAGAAATAGATCCATCTGTTTTGTTTTAATGTACCTTACAAATAATCCAGAGACTAATTCCGGTTAACCTAAAAACACTTACCTTATTGCCACAACAAACTGTGTCTGTTAATACYGTAAGTAGCATAAAATAATATTGAAAACTTTGTGTCAGTACAAAGAGAAGAAGGATGTGACAGTCAGAATATGAAGTTCATTCCCACACATACTAACAAACATACTAAACCATAAACTTTGTAAYGCTAAAGATAAGAAGCCTAAGTTTTACTATTTGTAATAATGCTAATTGCACAATAGCAATGTACAGCTAATAATAACAATAACAAAAAAATACTAATCATCAACAACAATAATAATAATATTGTTCACACTTAAGAAATACATTGTTTCTATTTAAAGAGTTTGCATTGGTGACAGGATTGCTAGTTTAAAAAGCTGTTTAAAATCAATAGGTTGAAACATATGACTACTTAAAGGATGACTAGCATTAATTTTTTTCCACCYTCCCCCTGAGAATTCTTTGAAAGAAAGAACCACTTCATGCAGACTTGAAAATATTGCTGCCAGGAAGAATAAATGTTTCCTGTTCTTCATTTCTTGGCATTCTATCATCTTTATCCAGCAATATAGTTAAGCATTAGCCCTACTGACAGCCTGCCATGAGCTGTTGCTAAGTCTGATAGGTCCTTCAGAACTGCAAGTACCCAGAAAAAATAGGCTGTGTTAATTTTAAAGGGTTGATATAAAAAACAGTGGCTTCAATGGAGAGATACCACTTAGCTAGCAGAACCTGTTGTCCATCTCAAAAAGTCACTGAGAATCTTAATGATGTTGCCCTGTATAAACAAAATGTGAAAATGCATCTTTAAGCAAAAAGTAAGTTTTAACAGTGACCCTTTCACAATAAACTGTAAGGGTTGCATTATGTCTATTAATTCAGTTGGAATCCATCTAGCTTCTAAAAAGGAATGCATAATTCAGTCTGTGTAACAAATATAGCTGACCTGATTTTTCCCCCTTCTGCTATTTTCCACCTTCTGTAGCTATTTGCTACCTGTCCTGGACACTGCCTTTGCACAGTTAAATCCAAAAGTGCAAGTCACCAATACGTAAGTCAAAGCACTGTATAAAAGGTGCCTGGTGAGATGAATGAATTTTCTAAAAACTTTTAACTGATGGCAACAACTCTGCATTTTCCCTTCTATTCTAAGTGTAGCAAATTTTTAAATGACAATGCCCTATAATCAGTGTTGAATACATTACAAAAYAGTTTTGCACATTCTTGCTTGAGACCAGATGGATAAAGAAGTAGTTGCTCCACAGAGACAAGATAAAATCTCCAGACCTAGCATTCCTGGAAGCAGAAGAACTGCATGGCTTCCTTCTCCTGTTTGCTGATAATGCAGGTGGACTCCATTCACTTGGATTTTGGCAGATGTTATTGAAGTACTAGGGATAGGGAAAGAGGAGAGAAATAGGAAAACATTCAGTTAATTTTCATTACTACATGGTCATTCCGGGAATACAGAATAATTACTTTTCCTAGTTATTAATGACAGTATTGTGGGATTTTAAYGGATCATTTGCCTTTCATGGGCGCATAGAAGAATAAAAAAAGCTTCTCAGGAGCAGAGAATTATTCAGTTGTGATCACTAGCATTCATASCCAGGCTAAAGGATAGGGGAAAAAAGTCTTGTTGGTGCAACCAGGAAAATATAAAGGCAATTTTATATGGCTACAGAAACATATTGAAATAAAGACAATAGAGAGGAGAAACCTCATTCTGTCACAGTGCAACTTTTGAAAGGGCTGGTACTCACCTTGCTATTACTAAACTGAGTCTCTTCATCTGCCAAAGAAACCACAATCTATTGTTACTGTTCCTCATGAACCACAGGGTCTGCCATGAAAACCACTTTGCAGTGAGATGAGAGTGGAGAAGAAGAATGTGATAATAATATTTCTGTCTGTGTAATCTCACCAGGAGATAATGCTTAATTGGAAATACCACATGAACAATAAATCCACCCACTAAAAAAATCACCACAGAAACTGACTGCACAGGCTATCTCTCAGCCCCAACACTTAAACCCCTACATTATCCTTCAATACAAAGCAAAACATATGTGTAAATGCAAGTAAGTGACCTGAGAAAGCATGTCTAGATACAAACACTTTATGAGAAAGCAGAAGTAGCAAAATCTGAAAGTACCTTCTTAACAGTATAAACCATTGCATCTGTCCCCTCAGGCAAATTTGTGCCTTAATGGTTCCAAAACATCTTYTCAACAACTTAACTGATTTTGTTTAAAGGCAATATGATAAAAATCTTGCCATTTGGTTGCCTATTTATTAACCCTAATTTTATCTAGACTAAATATTCTTGCCCAATGAATTCAATCAGCATGAATTTCACATGCATAGAGACATTCTGTTTTCCAGTTTTAGATGTAAMAATAATCTCTATTCCATGTTATGCATTGGGCCATTCATTAAAAACTCTATTTTTATATATAAAGTCTGACCTACTTACAGTATGTAGAGAGTTGAAAGTGGTGGATTACTGGTTAAAAAAATCCCACTTATTAAAGGTAAAAAAATCCCACTGATTTAAACTCTTTTCATAAGAAAAATTAACAACAACTTGCAAACTCATGTTCCTAATACATAAGTGGCAGTTAAGCCACAGAATCTGATCAACACAAAGCCATTTTTGCTTTTACATAAAATCTTGGTTCTATGTAACCAGTCATGGCACATGCCTGAATATAAGCTGTGACTGTGCAGAACAGAATCAGCTCCTTCTGAGCAGATCCAGTATGAAAACTAGAGTACAAAYGCAGGCCTGTGGCAAGAGTACAGATCAAAGAAATTCATTTTCTCATTATAACTTCAGTGAGTTTTGCTGAATTGCTATGCCAGTGTGAGCTAAGTGACTAGACTGTAATGCTAGACCTCCATAAAGTCTGTATATCACATTTGACGTGGTTTATACACAACTTGAATTCTGCATGTAGCACTCAGATGGCTGCCTTACCCCATTTGAATAACTGACTTTCACTTTTTTCTCTTTATAAGAGTCTTTTTATTCTCCATTTGCCATCTTTTGGTTTGTCATTAATTTCAACAGCTATTTTATTACAGTTCTCACCCCACAGACCAGCACAAGACTCTTATTAAATTTTAAGAATAATGGGGTTTTTTTTTGTTTATGATTAATAATTGCCAAAACCCCTTTCAGTTCCTAATAAAACAGAAACAATCAACACCTTGTTACCTTTTTTAAAACAGGTTAGCAATGTGCAGTTTAATAGACAGTTGTATATTCTGCTTTCCCAATTTAGATTTTTTTAACATAGTTCAATGTTTTTAGGATTAATTATTAACATCAGGGGCTTGAGAATTTTGCTGAGTTTGTGATGCTTTTCCATTCTTGGATTGYKYCTCAGTGTGAAGTCCAGTGAAATCYARAAGTTTCACATAGTATTTTCAATACTTTTTGGACTAACAACAAATGAGTCAGCTTTTATATGCACTGAGAAACTGGAAACGGTGACACMTAACACAGACTTTGTCTTCCAAACACCAAATTTCTGTGAGCCTGAAATCACTTCACCAGTGTACTTGTCAGCAAAGATGACTTCACRTCTGTTAAGTTTTCACAAAGACCGCATTTTCCACTGGTTGGAATAACTGGAAACAGTGGTAAACCAAAACAAAATAGAAAAGCCACCCTGGTATTTTGTATTAGTAATGTTAAGGTGTGTAACTCTTTGAGAAGCACTGGATACATACTGCCTATGCATACCAAGGCAGCACAGGTGCATTGTAGGCAGATTTTGTCCTTCACCTCGTACTCTGTAGGAGTGCAGCTTAATCTGAGAACTACCTCTGTTCCAGCTGTGCTACAATACGACCTAGTCTTTATCTGTGCAGGGGAAAAAATTATGGTACTAAGTCAGTTTTCCTCAATAGGATCAGCGAAACAAGCAGGATGATACAGATACATGTGCTCTCTTTGCGATCTCGGCGACCTCCAGGGAGCCCCTTAGCAGCAGCAGGTGGCCAAAGGGACAGGCGGTCAGCGGCACGGGGACCGCCACAGGGGAGGGTGACAGGCACTGACCACGGCGGGCTGCGGAGCCTTCCTTGTACAGCCCCTTGAAGCACAGGGAAAGCAGCAAGCTCCTCAGGACACTCCCTGAGTCCCACCTTGTCACCTCCCCATCCCCGATCCAGTGTACACCGCCGCTGCTAACACACYTTGTCCATCCCGCCGCCCCTCTGCCAAATGCGCCCTTCCCCAAGCCGCGGGAAGGGAGGAGAGAGCTGGGGAGAGGGGGAAGGAGGCGGCTGTGATTTTACCCGTAGCAAGCGGCCTGTCCCCGGGCCGTGAGCGGCGCAGCCCGGGCGGGCGGCTGTAGCGGCAGCAGCACCAGCGCCCGGAGGGCCCGGCCCGCGCTCCGGCAAAACATTTCACCCAGCGAGGCCGGTAGTACGGAGGGGAGGGGAGGGCAGGCAACGGAGCGGAGCCGCCCCGCCTCCCTCGCCGTGTCCTGCCCCGCCTTCGCCCCGTGTCCGGCCCCGTCCGGGCGGGATGAGGAACCGGCCCGCCTCCCCACCGTGTCCTGCCCCGTCCGGGCGGGATGAGGAACCGGCCCGCCTCCCTCGCCGTGTCCTGCCCCGCCTTCGCCCCGTGTCTGGCCCCGTCCGGGCGGGATGAGGAACCGRCCCCTCCAGCCCCCTCCGCGATGTGCCGGGGCGTCCAGGGAGATGGATCCTCCTCTGTCCGCGCTCTGATTGGCGGCTGCGGCTGTCACTCAGAGCTGGACCCGGGCTGTGGCCCCGCCCCCCGGCGCTGATTGGTCACGCCGTGGCTGTGGGGCGGGGGGGGGGTGTTGTGGGTCCCTCCTCCCGGGTCATTTTCCTGGGCCCAATTCCCGCCTCGGCTCGCCAGGCGGGATAGTGCTGCCCGCGCTTGAGAGTAGTAGGCGAAGGTTGAAGGTTCTGCCCTCTGCAGCCGCCTCCCAGAGTCTGCACCGTCAGCCGTGGCGGGGAGCTGGGCACTGTGAAGCGCCTCCATGCTCTTCAAGAAGCGGAGACACACCGAGGCACGGCACCACCCGAGATGTCTGCGGGGAACAAGATCCCAGCCCTGGGAGACACATGGGACYTGAAACCATGACCTGCCTCTCCGGCACTGCCCGTAATGGAGAAACCTCATCCCACTGTGAGCACACGCGGGTCACCTGTGGCTCCAGGTGTGCCTGGAGARCAGTTCCCTGGGCAGCTGGGACAGTGGCGGCAGCCCTGGAGACTGCAGCTCTACTGTGGCAGTGCCTTCAGCATCCCAGAGGCTAGGCATTCCCAGGCCCTTGGCAGGAATCATTTACTCTGTTACCAATGTTATTTGTAGGGCCTGCTTTTGGGGAACATCTCCTGGCCAAGGGCTTTGGCCTGGAAAGTGCCTGTATTCATCAGGGCCAGCCACCTCTGGAGCAGCCTGATTGCTATAATTTACCACAGCACTCAGCCTTGCTTTCCTCTGGACCTACTCACAATTTGCCCATAAAACACCAAGAAGACCAGCCGCTTTCCCTGGTGAGGAGAATGCAAGGAGGAGAATGCAAATCGAGCCTGAAGTCACAGTCAGCCAGGGTGATGGTGGAGGAAAATAGCAGAAAGCTGCAGAGCTGGTACAAAGCTTGAAACAAACCTAGGATTAAAGGTCTTCTGCCTTATGCCTGGATGAGAGAAATTTCCTCAAGGCAGGTCAGTGTTGCATATTCCAGCCCAGCAGAAGCTCAGTGACTGCCCTGAGAGTGAGTGGTTGTCAGCCTTCCCACCCCACTGCCATACGTGTGCATGGGACTAACAAGTCTCAGAGGCRAATGACAGTCATAACAAATCSCAGTGCCTAAAGASATTAACTCCACTGTGTAAGCATACTGGTTCAGTTTATCCCCTGAGCAGATCAAACCTTTTAAGATTAAGGTCTTTAGTATGGATAATTACAAGCAATCCTTCATCAGGACAAGCTGCCTTCTCTCTTGCCTGGTGACATTTACAAGCCACTGCAGTTCCCTTGGCTGGTAGGCTAGTTTCAGAGGGTCATCTTGTTAGTCTCACTGTCTAAGTTTCTTTCTGGTGGAAATGAGTGGAGGAGATGGCTGACTATTCTGTGTTTGGGACAAAGAAATAGCTTGGTCTACTGTTGCACAAACTTAATACTTTTTCTGAATTCTGCATTTTCTGTGAATCAAAAGGGTCTCCTATCTCACGTGTCACTATGAGTTTTAACCAGAATGAAATTGGATACAAGTTGGTGACCAACTTGTAGGGGAAGGTCACCAACTTGTATCCAATTTCATTCTGGTTAAAATGYCCTTAATCTGATCTTTCTCCATATTCTCTACTTACTAAGGCTGAAGGAAAAATAGCAAATTCTCAGAATGTGTGCCAAAGGATAAGGAAGAAAGGGTTTGTCATAGGGGCAGGGGAAGAGGTAACTAGAAAGGTAAAACCTAATGCCTGTGTCAGATGAGAGAAAAGGGAAATGAGATTTATGTACCACCTAGATCTGGGAAAGTTTCAGATGGGTTAGCTCCATTGTCAGTGTGACAAATTGAGAGGTCCCTCTATAGGAAAGGTTGTCACAGTCAAGCTGTTGCACTGTGCGTCATCTCCAGCTGCAATCACAGCTCTGGAGCACAGGAGGCCTGTTAAGTGGCCATTCCTATCCTGAGGTCCTGGACCATGCAACCCCTTCCAGAGGCAGTGTCCTGCCTCCTTTGGCCCGAAAAGAGAAAAGTAGTGTGGCAGTTGGGCAAAAATGGCATTGGCAAAAGACCTTTTGTGCGTGTTTATTAAATGACTGGCATTGTGAGGTGTGACTCAAGGAGAGACTTGCTCTCTGGGCCCACAGGGCAATGGCCCCARGTGGAGCTGTTGGAAGCAGGACTCTGCCAAGGCTGGATACAAGTGGTGGATGATCTGGGGACAAACACAAGGTGAACTTGCAGATTCAAACTGTGTTCAACTTACTCAGTTCACCCGAACATTCAGTCTTGTTAGGAAAGCAGATTTGCACATAAATGATGGACATCTGGCAGAATGCAGTTTTTCAGTTCAGCTATTTCCTCAAATATATTCTCCTCACAGATTAGTGGCTAAAAGGAGAGAAAAAGTTTTGAGTAAGCAAGACACAAGCTTACTTTTACACGGCCCATGAAAGAGTTGAGACCAGCTGGAGCACTAGTTTTCCTGACTACTCCCATAAAAAGCTTTTATTTATGTGATTACTACTGATGGTTCAGGCTGGAAACTACCTGTTTCTGGCCATTGSATGGAAAAGAAAATGTTTAGAAGAGGTAGCACTGCTCTGCTGGTGATTTGTCCCTGAGGACAGATTCCCTTTTTAACTGTCTTTTTTTTTGGCTCCATCTCTCCACTGTGGCCATCTGCTGGCAGATTTCCCCCCTGATATCTAGGAAACAYTCTGGAGGGCATCACTGCAGTGCAGTGGGACTTTCTCACTTATGATGAACCATCACAGTCCCYGCAGCCAGGTTACACTGTTGGTGCTGCATGGGTTTGTTCCTTATAGAACTGAACAACGGGGAAAAAAGCTTYCYCAAGCTTCTTTTAAGGGACAGAACTGCAGAACACTGAGATTTTCAAGATGTCTGTTAAATGGCAAGGAAGAGTCTTCTGACTCATGGTTGGATAGAAAATAWGGATCTATTATTTTTGTACTTCTACAGGTTATAGGAAATCTGGAAAAGGCCTAGTTAGTTATTGACAGTGGGTTCTTTGAGATCTGCTGGAACACCAGGGAGAAAGATTAATTCCAGTTCTCAAGAGGCATTATTTTCACCCACACGTGGGATTCTCTTATCAGGAGCTTCGATCCCATACAAGACACCGGAATTATCAGCATTAGCAGGGATTTAACTCTGGAGCTTTCAAGGAGAACTCATTTGTCAGAGCCATTGGGGCACTAATAGGCTTTAATGGCCACAATCAGCCTCAGCTGGGGTCTGTGCCACACCCTGGCTCAAGGGTCCTGGAGCCTAATTTTGGCTCAGCATAGTGCCACCAGTCCCTGCTCCAGCTGTGTCACAGCCATGTCTGATGCATTGGGGTCCCTAGCGATCCAGGTACTGTTGCAGACTTTTCTTCTTGTGTGTGTTCACACTGACTGATTATCTTTGCCTCACTTATTTTATCTACTTCTATGAGGTGAAATAACCTGCTGTTTCAGGACTATTTTATTGCTTGGGCTCTTGTGCATCTTGGATGTTGATTGTCACGTTTTCACCTTAAGACAAAATTTTATTGCTTCAGCTTCACAAAGAGGTAAGATTTGGGTAGTGGGGAATTGCCAAATTCAGAACAAATATGTGAAAATGCTGGTATTTCTGTGATTTGATGTTGACCTTCCRAACAAGAAAGATTGAGTGTATATGTCATGACTTTTGAAGCTGCCAAATGTGGTGAGTACAGCATGTGGTTTTGTAGCAGGAGGCCTATTTAGTTAGAAATTAGCCAAGCTGAGGACAATCAGAATTACGTGACAAAGGAAAAGATGCTTTGTCATAAGCAGAGCTGGTCATAGAAAAGGATCCCAGATACCTTGGCTCAAAGAACTGGTGAAGAAATTAAAACACAGACACATGATTTTCTTTGCTTGTCTGCATTTTTCTTATGCTAGCAAATGATAGTGTCTGTTAACTTCAGCAGTATCTACATATCTTTCATATTTTCTTTAATAACTGCATTATTAATCTGACATACCTGAACTTGGGCACTTCAGTGGGAGGTGGTCTCATTTCAAATTTCAAAGTTGAATGTAATTTCCACCTTGTAAATCCAAGCATAGTCTTGGCATAATTTTGGTCCATATTTAGGACATTCTAGACAGAGACTTGAAATGACTCCAAATACTCTGGTACAAAGGAAGAAACAGCTTGTCCCTTGGAGAAGGCAAGAGTAACATTTAGAAGATTTGTTCATGGATGGGATTGTGCGAATCTATTTTGATGAACTCARTGACCAAGACATCCTTTCCAGTGCTGCATTTAGTTCTCTCAGCTAATGAAAGGGAAATGTGTGTGGGGTGCACAGGAGTTGCAACCCAACATTAAAAATCCAGCAGTRTTACTGGTTTATTGAGGAAATTAGCATGGGTTTTGGTTTCAAACAGCTCTTATCGAGCATCTGAGCTCTRTAGGCTGCAAAGCTTATTATCAAATCACATCTTAGTTCTGGCAGRAGTCAGTGTCTGTACCAAAGAGATGAGGAAGCAGTGCTAAAGAGAAAGGAAGTGACCTACATAGAGTTGTAGAGGAGGGGGAAACCCAGCRTAAGTCAGAACTCTGGTCTCCTTTGTTTCACTCATAGGCAGTATTTCYTCCAGCGTGAAGATAGCTTCTAGTCTCTGCAGTCTAGAGCCTGTTCTGATCCTAACTTCCCCTTCTTTCCCAGGGGCTGCATTAAGATGCTGCACTTTTCCTAGCTGCTGTTGTGTGTTGAGGAACAAATGAGCATGGTCRGATGACTCCTAATGCTAATTGGTATGCTAGAAGGGAAACATAGCATGCTGCAAGGAGCACTTTCTGTAGTCTGTAGAGACTGGGATGAGGAAYGGTTAGGAAAAAATGCCTGAAGGGCACAAGAATCCAGTGAAGAAAGCCTTCCCAAGTGCTACTTAACTCTAATGTGTCCCAGGTTGTACTGGATGATCCTTCYTACTTTGTTGCCCTGTAGCTCCTCATTGTATACATGGCTGAGCATGTTTTAGAGGGACTCTTATTCTATTCAGGGATTCTTACTCTGTTTTCCATGCACCTGCATGCTGAAAGATGGTTTTCATTTGTTATCGAACAGTGTGAAAAATCTGTCAGAGAAAGGTGACATAGTTTATCTAAAGCTGCTCAGTCAGAAGCCAAGCTCTTGAGTGTTGCCTCTCATTGGAAGCTGGCCTCGGAGGAAGAGAAGCTGTGGTGAGCTCAGTTCAAAGGTCATGTATCAAATACTTGTAACAATGTCCTCTCTGAGTTTTTAATCCAGCATTATTACTTGGTTTTATTTAGCAACTCTTTTGGAAGGGATAAAAATTCTCACGTTCCTTAGCTGCTYGTATACTATTAATGGGGGCACAGTAACAAAATTAATCAAATTAATTGCTCTGAATGACATGGACTCAGTCCTCTCTGCATTTAAGTTTCAGCACAGATTGGCTGCTGTGTGATGAGGGTAGCTGCCAGGCAGGGGTTGTACTTGAGTGTTGTATGAGCTAATACAGCCAGGCACTTCCTCTTAAAATAGGAAAACATGTTCCTGTGTGCAAGTGGCTGAGTTCACCTCCTGTTCTTCACCTCATCTCCTGTTCTTCACCTCCTGTTCTTCCAGGACAGACCATGAGGAAGAGGTCTGCTCCTGCAACCCATAGCCTTTTCCTCCCTGTCTTGCACCTCACAAATCTTCTGAAAAGTCTCTGTGAGACTACTGCCTCTGTTCTTGAGGCTGATGGCTTTCCAATTTGATATGAAATTACTCTTCAGTCCTTTCACTCCTTTGTTTTGCCATGAAAGATATTGGATCTATGCCATATCTTTCATCCTTGCCCCTATTATTTTCCTGTATTTTTGATCTCTCATGATAGGGTTGCTTTTCAAAAATCAGCTTTGTCCTGATTTTTTTTTTTTTTTTTGAGCAGGGGGGAGAAGGGGTATGGAGTGGTAGATAACATGAGCAATCCAGTGAGTGCAGGGGGGAGAAGGGGTATGGAGTGGTAGATAACATGAGCAATCCAGTGAGTATTAGCTGATCTCTCTCTTCAATATTTCATATTTTTGTACATTTTTAGGTCAAGGGAGAGCACTAACTCTTTTCTTTGGACTTCTTGTACATAATTTACTTTAATATTTCACCTAGTTAACCTTGTATTGAGACTTATAGCTTTTATTTCAATTATAGCCATCTTAAGAAACAAAACCAGTCTTAAAAGATACCAAGAAGATCCACAGACTCCCTAGGTAGTTTATTCCAGTASTTAATCATCATTATTATTAAATATSTATTCTAATTTGGCTTGCCTGGCTGCAGCTTCAAGGCACTGGGTCCTATTATGTGGTTTTCCACAATATACTGAAGGACTTGTAGTACTTTGGAGTTTCTGCCCAGGAAGCTGATTCTTCCCTGTGAGTGAGTTCTGCAAGTGCTGTACTGAAGGAGTTGGTCTCTAGCTGAAATCAGTTGTTTGTTTKCTATACCATCTACAATGTCACATGAACTGTGAGCACTAGTCTAGAACTGGACTTGACAAACACCAAAACTAAAATTATCTTCATCTCCCACATCCTACTTTAAAGATCTAGGATTGCCCTATGCCCAAGTCTTGTTCTAAAATGCTTTATGTTTGTGATCTACATCTCTGTTCTTCTTGTTTCAGAAAGTAAGGTCCAGACTTGATTTGATAAAGACCAAATGAAGCATTTAATGTATGCCCATTAAATGATCACTCTCATTCTGTTTACCTTATGATGGAAAAATTGCATATTGTATAAACAAAGACTGCAGATATGGGAGACTTTAAAAAACCAATGGGGGCTCAGACGATGTAGCAATACATTGCAACCAAGGTTAACATAACACAAATGGACTTTGTGATTTGTTCAGGAATGTTTCATGAAGCAACAGAGCTGCTGGCTGTAACTCTCTGGGGACTAACATAGAGAAGACACCCCCTACCCCATCTCTCTATCTGCTTTCAAAAGAATAATTTTTTTTCTGGAAAGTGTATGTTTAATGTATTAGACAGATAAACCACATCATTCTATTCYAATCAAGAGTTTATAGAAAATTTAGCATGTTGTTAAGTCAAAACTGTAAGGCARTGCAGTAGGTTTAAAGATGACAAATATTTTGATGCTTGCTTTGATTACAGTTTCATTTTGCTTCCACCAAGATGGTGGGTACTGCATCAAGGAACAGAAATCCATTCTAACTACATTTCCATTAAGTTATTATCTTTTTTTGACAGTAACAATGAATAGTTAAGAACACCAATGAACACATAGTGTTTTATTTACAGYATACACAACTACCTGCTTGAAAACATCTGCCAGAAATATCTATAAATCTGATGGAATAGGAAGTATTTTCCTTCACAGGAAGGGTTTGGCATAATTGTTCTTTGGGCATAAAAATTTACAGTACTGCTTTCTTCTTTCATAGTACTGCACACTGAGATTWTGTCAATACTAGGAAGTCAGAGTGACAAGGAACATTTCCAGGCACTGGGATACCATCACCTACACTACAGAGCTGTTCCAGTGTTCCCCAAAACAACCTGAGCATTGTGAAGTAGTCTTAGCACAACATTTTGGAGGTTTAAATTATTTGCTATTCTGGCAGCAGGCTGCAGCATGCCAGTTTAACCTCAGCATCCAGTACCATTCCCAGGCACRTTTACTAATACAAATGCAGCCTAAGAGATTTGGAAAGTAGTGACACTTTGAGCACCCTGAGCAAGTAGGAGAATGGGTCTTCAGTCAAGAGGCAATAAGGCACCTTTCCCTTCCCCAAATTCTTCCATTCCTGAGTTTTTACTTTGGATTGAAAAATGATTGWATTTATTTTTTCAGGTTTCATAAAACAGATGAGACTTGTGTCCTGTAAAATATTTTCTACCAAACAATATAAAAATCTAATGCAATATTAAATAGACACTATTATATATATGTATTATTTATAATAAAGTATCAACTACAGACCTCTAAAGCCAGAAATAGGTTTTGMTTTTATCTATGCTGCTGTTYTACATAATTCTAGACATCTATATTTAATAAAAATTATAAAAACATTTGAAATATATTACTGACTTAGGCCTGTCAATAATGGCATTGTAAGCATTGGCACTTCTGGCAAAATTTAATAGYTGATTTTGGTTTCTGTACAAGTTTTTCAAGGAGTAGGTAAATTTTCACATATTATTACTTATTTGTTCAGAACTGAACAAGAGTACCAATGTGTTTCAAGGTCAGAATGTAGAAATTTTGTGTAACACGTTCTCCCTTAATTGTTATTTGTCTTGCATTTTCCTGTTATCTTTGGTCAATGGCTCTATTCAGAAGGAAGGTGTTTGGGGTTTCTTTCTATCCTTTGGAAGACCAGATATTGTGACATAAACTTCTGATTTACTGGAGGTATTCACTGAGAACTGATGGAAAAAATATGTTCCAAAAAGTCAGTGCAAAAAGGAGAGCTCCAGAAAGTCTGTTCTCAGACAACTYATTCTTCTTGGATTTGCATCAAACTATTAAGGAGATCCAGTCTTTGGCAGCAGAAGAGGGCCTTGGCAAGTTTTCCAACTGTAGCACCTTTGGAGCCTTCCCTCATTAGCCACTTAAGCAGCATTTGGTAAACTTTTTCTTTTAGTCCATCTCGTTCATAGTCATGATCAATTTCATCAATCTCGGGATCACTGAAGCCCAGTTTCCGAGCACAGGGCTTCCACTGCTTAGCCAGCTTTTCTCTCACTAGATTCAAATGTTTATCCATCACGACAGTGGTATTGTCTGCGAAAAGAAGAGTGTGAGAAAATGGCATCATTCAACAGTTGTTCTGCTCTTTTCACTCTCTCCCCTGTCCTCCCCCAACTATTTATTGGTAACATCTGGAGACAGAATCTTAGTGCTGCAATCAGAAGTGAATTCATGGAGGCAGCATAACCCAGTGATGCCAGGCAAGAAATGTCCAGAACATGGGTATTTACAAGTCARTGGCTGGACTTGCTTTTTGATGTGAAGCTATCATAGCTTATCACTTWAACCTGCAAGATTGACAAACCCCTTCCTAGAGTTCTTAAAAGAGACGTATGATATGTTTTATATTCCAGGACACAAATAATTTGTTTACTTAGGAATACAAAGAGATAGTTTAATTCAGTATAGACCACTGAAAATAAATTACATTTCAAAATCTTCCATTTGCTACCTGAATGAAGAATGGCTCTGAGTCTGAACAGCTCTTGAATATATGGTTTAACTTTTAGTTTTCCCTGTGTCATGTCAGACACTGAAGTSTATGATGTGCATGGGTCCCTTTCAACTCARGATATTCTATGAYTWAAACTGTAAATCAGGTGAGKATCTYGCATCATAGCCTTGCWTCTATCAGTTTAAGTGTTTCATACATTCCAAACCAAATGATCCTCAGATAATTCCATGCGATGAATACATGAAAACTAGTGAGATATTTCTCTTACCAAATATACCCGTTGCTTCATACTGTGTGTAAATTGCTTCTGTATCAACAGGACAAGTGCTGACATGCTGATTGTGCTCTTCAATCTTCATGTGATTGTAGGATCCAATTTGAATTCCAGAGCTGTTACTTATGTGGTACTTGATTGAATCATCTGTATAAGGAACTTTAACACAAATTTACAATGTATAAGATCCAAATGTCACAAAGTAACATAGGGAGGAAGAAGTTCTATTAATAAGGGAAGTGATAATCATTGCACTTGATGTACGAATAGCCATTTACTGGCAAGTATGCTGTGAGTGTATTTTCACTATGCAGTGTGACACAAATGTACTTCAGTGAAAGCCCAGTCTATTTTATGACAGACTGCCATAACCAAGCTGACAGTTACTAGACTGTAAATAATATTCTCTGTGCCTTGGGAATGCATAGTAGCAGTCTTGCTTTCTGCTGCCTAACAGCTTCAGGAGGTCAGCCTTGACTTGAAAACTCTATTCATTTAAATCTTAAAGCCTCACTTTTCRTAGATGTAAGTTCACATTTACAGTTACGATTTTTAAGTTCTGTGAGACTACAGCAAATCATTTCATGTTGCTCACAAGATATGATTAGTTAAACACRTAATTTGATCTTTTGCTTACTGTTGTCTGATTTCCACACATAGAGTGAAGCTATGTCACTATTCTAAGTCACTATTCATGTTAGGTGATGTCCATTTTCTGTTCCCTTGACAGTGTTTTCTGAAATATGTTTGGATAATKATCCACTAAAAATTCCACCTCTAGTTTAAATGGTGAATCTCAAAACATGGCTCTAAAATTGAAGTACAGATACCTAAAATGATATACTAAGCTCTGTACTTAATCATGAAATTACGGTTAGATGCACAAACCATGATCCTTGTTACACACTCAACTGCAATGTAAAGTGTGAAAATCTAATAGTCGTATGAAAATCTGACTGTGTGCACTTAATATATGCTAACCTGAGACCGCAAGTCAGAAACAGTTTATGTATGCATGATAAGTTTGTTGAAGTTGCAAGAAAGGAATGCATTTTATCATGTCTCATAACATTATTACTTGTACTCATAACATTATGATTCCTGTTTTTTTTTACAGCCAAAGGACTCAGGAAATACATTCACATGTGTAGTTAAAAATATAAAGAAACYCCCTCATGTTTGCTATGTTCTTATCTGGTAACAAAATTAATTTGGCATAAGATAGGAAAATTTATACAAATACTTTGTCAGTGTTACAATATTAACAGTAAAACTTATTGTGCTTATAAATCTACTTTCCCAAGGCTTTCTACTTTGATGCTTGTCAGGTRGTCATCATCTAAGGACTCTAATGGGTGCATAGTCAAGAAGACAGGAACCTGCTCTTCAAATTTTCTTTGTAGTGTAGACCACTTAGAAACTGGACAAGCCTTTGAAAGGGTTAATTAAAGAATTCAACAGTGTCCGAAGCAACACAACTGAAAAGGAGCACGCATTAACAACTTCTGAAGGACATGACATGATTTTAGGGGTTCAAGCCAGCAGAACTGTAGAGATCTGTRCCCCAGTGAAGGCTAATAAGCACAAAGCCTGCAGCTGGAGAKTTGTATTAAAAATCCAGAGTGAGTTAGGACAATGTGTCCCAAATGTGTGTGTGGTTCGAGAGTTGGACAGTCACAGAAATTTGATGTTTAATCTAAGAAAGTGACTATTTTAGGTGTACAGATCTTGCAATGCTCTCGTATTTTTAAAGTTCTTACATAAAARAATAYGTTRTCCTTAATTCATCAAATACACATTKACTGGTGTGCTTAGGTCCTGCTAAAGACAGGAATTGGTTTTACATACTGGTACTGWAAACTTCAGCTATGGTTAGAGGCATTAAGTGATAACATAAATTATTTCAGGTTCCTGAAGTTTTTTGCTTTACTGGTCAGGATGCAATGCATAGCCTGCTGGCTGCCAGGGCAGATGAAGGCTACAGAAGTTACCTGGGCTTACTCTGGGTGCACTAGGATAGTATGCAAACGTTCCCCTTGTGAAGGAAGTGGAATCCCTGTTACCTATACAAAGAGAAAAAAATGAAAAAATGCCAAAAGCATTATGTAAATAGAAAAGTAGATGTAATTAACAATGACTACCACACTTGTAACAGTGTGAGTACAGCRCTCTTAAATAGAGAGAAGCTTTTTAATTAGCAAGATTGTGTCTCCTTGAATAACTCTAGTGTAAGCAATTATTGTGGTTTTGCTCAGTTACTAACAGCCTTAACCATTCATGGATCTCAGTGAGGACAAGGGGCTTCCACAATGGGTATAGGAATACCTGGCAGTGTGGGATCACAGCACACCGCAATTACAGACTGAGGTGCTTGTATCAGATACTCAAACTGGCACATTCCAGACTCCCAAGTGTGAGTTTTTGAATGCTCAGATGAGCTCTGCAACTCATACTGGGGCAGCAAGAGCAGCTGGGTTACAGTCACCCAACAGGTCCATGAAAAACTGCAATGGGGCTCTTGTGCACATCAGTCTGCTATCTACTACACTATTCCACACAACCTTCCTATAATAACTGTTTTCTTTATTTCTTTCAAACAGAAGTTTTATTAGTGATATTGACAATTCTAATGGCTTCTGACATAACAGCCTTCGGATTCATTTCAGTAAATAAACTCACATAAACAACTAATCACAGTCTCTGCATTAATAATTCAACAGAATAACACCTTTGTGGCATTCTGCTTGTAAAAAGCTAGGCATCCTTGATTTTCTTGTGAGATGACCTGGAAAATAATGCCATGCTAAAAATATCCAAGAGTAGGAGGAGGCATGTCATGCCATCTCTAGTTCCTCAGTTATATCTGGTAGGTCCCCAATTACCACTTATTTASGTGTTTTGCCAATGCCCAATATTCTCTTCCCTCTTTGTCCCCATACCTTTCTGTTCCACRGCTTACCAGCAAACACCAACAGAAGCTCTCCCTCAGCACCAGGCAGAGCTCTCTGGAGAAACCAGTTATGAGCCTTTGCTTCTTGCTGGCTCCCTAAATTCAGGAGCATCTCAGCTTGCTGTCAATCAAGCTAGAAATACCCATCTATTATCTGAAATACTACAAATGCTGTTTCTGCACGAGCAGAACSTATGATATGAATGTTATGTTTTTGAGAGTCAAAGTTCTCCTCAGCTTTCCTAGAATGATGGGTAGCAGCTCCTGGTTTTGGGGGCTGCTGTAGCTTCCTGTCTGCTCTTCCTTGGCTGGTAGCTGAAGAGTCAGGTGTTGGGTCTCATGCTCTTCTATTACACTGATGCTTWAGAAACGATTCATTTGAAATTGGCAGCCTGACATCAGTGAAAGCAGCACAATGAAGTAAAGCTAGAGTGTTTAAACTCTGAGTAAACAAAGAGAACTTAATGAAATAAATTCACTAATGCTATATCCCAGATCAGCCTGCAATAAGCAGGTTGTTCCATGAGCTACGAAACTCTCTTGACCACTTCACTGAATGGAAGAAAAGTGTGTTTTCAGAAACATAAGTGTTGGGAAAGGAGGAATCTCACCTGTATCTGTGTCTGAATTCTTTGAATACCAGTTTACATTGGTCTGTGACTGYGGGTTCTGTCCAGATTCTGGCACAGGAGGTTTAGTCAAACTAAAGTTACTGGCTGRACACAACACATAGGCATCCTCTGGGTTTCCTGTTAGAAGACTGTTGGGWTTTGGCCCATAAACAATAGCTCCATTTCCTCGTTTTGGTGTTGTTGCAGCTGCCTGTGGCCAGGAATTTGGATCAGTGTTTGCCCAGAAATATGGATTAGTGTTTGATCCTTTTTTTTCAGCTCTTGGATACAGTTCACTCCATTGAGAAATAGATGGCTTTGCAAATGGATGGCAGGRAACCTTCCACCTCTTTTCCTCCTCTGTCATTTCGGGACCATACACTGCAGGTGGAGCTGCTTTGTCCATCCGGTTCCCAAACGCATGGTAGTTGTATTCACGCTCAAGTTTTCTTTCCAGATTATCAGCAGGTATAAATGAGGTCTCACAGCTCTCAACAGGCTGATTCTCAGGGGAGGCAGCAAACAGGGCTTCGTTAACCTGACTGGGCATGGGACCCTGGGAGCTGTGTAGAGAATTAGGCTGATCTGAAAGGGAGGAACATTAAATGTTTGAAAATATTCAAATGCAAGTATTTCACTTAGTGCAATTAAGTTCACTTAATACTAAAATCTACTAACCTGCCTTTATTATAATGGTATATGTAAAAGATTAAAATGAAACATTACTTCCAGCTTAAGACATTCTATAAAATAAAACACAGCTTTAGAGACAAGTAGAACAGATTTTTATCTAGGAAGTACAGGTYTGCTTAAACTATCACGGTCAAAATCTCACTCAAGTAGTGTGAGAATTCAATTCATACTCTGCTTRTATTGATATAAAGTTTTCAACCATTGAAACAAACATTCCTGGAGGCATTTGCAGGGTCTGATTTACTGGTGCATCTCCACTGGCATTAACTGTAGTTTAGTCAATGCAAAACTGAAGTGTAACAGGATGGAAAATAATATCACTGTAATAACAGGTGTAACTTCATACAGCACAAATAATTTGTCATTAAAATCTTATTTTAAAATGATTATGTAAMGTATACTGCCTGATTATTTTGTGATGAATACCCTGGTCCCAAAGAATACATTTTTACAAGTAATGTCTACCAGATAAAATAGTGTGTGTCATCAGCGTAGTTCAAACTAATTCTCAATATCAGAGGAAGTTCTGCTTCAGTATTGAATCTGTATCATGCTGTAGCATTCCAAGACTAAATAAGAAACATAAAAATCGGCTTGCTACTACTTATCCWTGTATTTTTAAGGGTAGGATTACAGATGTTTTCTCTATGTTCTGAAGGCTTTACACTTTTCTAGAAAATATTGTACCTTGCTTGAAGCAAGAAACACTTACAAAGCATTGTACACTGGAATAAAGTGTATGTATATGCCTCTATTTAGCACAGATAATGCCAGTGAACAGTTTTTTGCCCCCCCCCCCGCCCCCCACTTACATTATTTCCATCCATATTAGGCAGGACCAAAACCAGTTCCTTTTGATGGATTAGTACATCTTCAGTTTTGCTACCACTGCTAGAGATGGAGTGGGAGGAATGGCTAGTACAGAAATAACCCCATCCAAAGTGACAGCTCTAAGCAATTCAGTATTAGCATAAACTATATAGGATCTCTTCTCCGGGGCAAGCCTGGGATGTACGAACAGATCCTGTGGGATGCCTTTCACTACCACTGTCTGAGTAATGYCCATTGACTAGAGAATAAAAACCCTGCCTTTGACTGATAGGCTGTCAAGATGGTATCTTTATGCAGTTCAGATTCACAACTGTCTTTTGTACATAAAACATGAGAGCATCTGCAATCTGCAGTAGTCATACATGATTCTTKCTGCTTGGGGAATGGCACTACACTCACTTAAAAATACAGCAGTGGGGCTGCCCTAAGTCCATCAGTTCTGCTAAGGAACAGTTATGGCAAACTTAGCTTTGRGGAAGATTCATTCATTTCACGTTACAGTTTAGCATTATTCCCTGGATAATGTCTTTCAAGTGATATCAGCAAATGCAGCAGAATTTATTTCTACTGGATTTTGTATTATTTCTTGTACATCACTTGCATATAAGAYGTTGTGTCCTTTGACATCAAGAAACTTTTGTGAAAGAATTCCAGATACACTACTACAAAATTCTAACCATCACCACATATTAGTGAGCCAGCTTTATAAAATCACAAAACATGCAACTCATCCAAGATTTGATGAACATATGACAGGAAGGTAAGGATAACAATCTACTAATGTTCCTCAGATTCCTGAGAGAGCAAGGTCATAAACAAAGAAAGACTTTACCATTATGTATCCTGGTCATATTCATAGCATACATAAGAAAGGATGGAGTGGGGAAAAAGTATTAATGAAATTAAAGCCTACAAACCARGCAGTTAGCATGATTAAAAAGATGGGAAGAAAGATCAAGTATGAGAAGTAATTATCAAAGTGACCATTGAAAAGACTGATGTTGAACAAAATTTTTGGCATGGAAGAAGAAAGCAGAAAAGTGTAAAATGAAATGTGTTTGAAGTGTAGGTGATGGAAATTTGGAAGCAGTATGACTTCTGAGAGCAAATAACATCTTAGTGATTACAATTCTTTCTGAGGTGGTGAATAATTGAGTCTCTTCATAACCCTTAATGGTAAGGTTACTTGCTTTATACGTGACTATTTTTGGCAAAATACACAGAGTAATGACTTACCTGTTTGACCATTGCTGGTATCTTCTGGTACAGCATCGATTTGAAGGGATTCCATCCTATTCTGCAGTTCATTTGATTCAGGCCACATTTTCTGCATATGAGAAAGAAAACACAATCAAATTATAGGCAGAAGCTTAACCAAAGGGAGTGCCCATAGAATAGGAAAATGGCACAGCTTCACAGTGAAGTGATCTGGATGAACAGATTCTGTGAATCTCTGAGCAAAGATCCCATACTCTTGCAGAGAGCACAGCCTGACAGAAAACTTTGCTGYAGGTGGGCAAAATCTTTTCTTCAATGCAATTGCAGTATATAATACTCTTGGCAAAAAAAATACCCTTGCCTACATGAGTATGAGCTTAATCCAGAGTGGCTCTGGATCTTCTGACTTGTATTTAACAGCCAGTGATCTCAGTGAGGGGATGCTGCTGAGGTAAAGGTAACAAATGTGCATCCTGTTTGTGGATCTGTATTTAATAAGTACATTCATCAACACAGAAGAAGAGATGAGAAATAATTGACACTCAGGTATAGACACACCGACTTTCATGAAGATTACTAGGAACGAGTTTAGAAGAAATTCTCAGAAAGCWGCAGTGCAATTTCCTTTCTGTAACCCACATCCTTACTTCACTAGAGTGAAGACAAAATCTATTCCTCTTCTACCCTTTTGATGTTCCCATTATTCAGGCTTTGCTGGAAGTAATTTTTTTAAACCTGGAAAAATTATTTTTCAACTTCCCCAGGTACTGCTTACTCGTAAAATAATTTCCAAAAGTAAAGATTGTGTTAGTGGTTTTTTTTTAATTACTTAAACCCAAGAAGTACTTTCACAGATTAAAAATCAACAACTCCTATCTCTTCCCAAAAAATTGACCTCCTTCTGAAAGCAAAAGATGACATTCKAACAAACATTACAACCACAGGTCCTTAGATTTTACCTGAGTAATGGAATTGCTTGAACAGGTGGGTTGGACCAAATGACTTTTGGTCCCTTTCAACCTCAACTACTCTGTGATTCTGTGATCCCCTGAYTGCAGGGCAGGTGGCAGGGAGGTTATGTCCAAATCCTCTAATTCATGTTGCTGCTGAAGCTGTACTAGTAATTCACATAGTGACTTGCCTTGGATCCACTGCTCACATTCWGTGTCCTGGTTGTAATGGATGCTTTCCTTCCTGAGAAAGTAATAAATTCTCAGCCCATTTTCTAAATAGTAATTTTGTCCCCATGATTTGAGAGGTGCATCTGCAGAGAGCTAATCACCTAGTAAAATTGGCTACAGTCCTGATTTCATCAATTAGACATATATATAGTTCACATTGGGAGTTTGGTCAAATCAGTCCAAGAAATCTGTTTCATCAGTTTCATTTTGCAAAATCCTTTTGCTTTCTTGAACAGTTACTGGTGCTTTGTAAACATCACATGAAATGAGTAACTTTCATTYACACAATTGAAGACTTGGTGAGAAGGAAGCATTTGAAAAAAAAAATGGTGAAAAAAAGGTTTCACAAAGAAGGTTCTTTTTGGTTTTTTTTTAGTTAAAAATATTGTCTGTATTGTCTGTGAGTGAAGTCTTTACAGTCAAGCGAATAAATTCATAAAATGTGTAATAAAAAGGTTCCATAATAAGCTCAGTTGTTCAAGAAGTACTTACTCTCTTATTTTCAGTCAAGATATTATCCTTTTTACCATAATATTTAAACTTAGAGCCAGAAAAGTAAGAGAAACCAACTTGGACACTCAGGAAAACCATCTGAATTTAAGTTTTACCTGTTGATATTACTGTGGTATAGCTTCCTGGTCTCAGGCAGGCTGAGACTCATTAGACACTGCCTGAAGGCAGAGCAAAAATTACCAAGAATTTACAAAGGTACTTTAAATCAGATTCTGCCACTTTTGAAGTGCTAGTAATAACATTTGATTTCATGAGTGAGATATATGAGGATCTTTTGCAAAGCATCATCACAGAATCAGTGTGTCACTCAGATAGAAATGGGCCTTGGGGGACCTTGAGCCCATCTCTTGCTCAAAACATGGTTGCTTATGGGATCGGACTTGGTAGCTCAGAGCTTCATGCAGCTGGGTTTGAAAACCTCCAGTGAGGTGACTGGACAACTCTTTAGGTAATTTGTGCCACTGCTCTGCTGTCCTCAGAGGGAAATGTTTTGGGTTTTTTTTTTTTTTTTTTTTTTTGTAAACAAAACCACACCTTTCCATCCGAAATGAAGGAATAAAATATAAGAGAATTACTACAAATGTGTTTGCAGTCTATTCTAACCAGATTCTTTTTAAGTTTTTTTTTTTTTGTTTCCCTCTTACATCCAGTTTGAGTCTCTCTTGTTTCTGTATTTGTCTTCTGTCTCTAGCCCTCACACGATGTGCTGCTGTGAAGAGCTTGGCTCTGTCTTGTCAATAAACTCCTCACACACAGGGGAAGGTTGCTATTTCTTTATGTCCCCGAAAGCCATTGAATGTTTGGATTGAAGCAGCCCCATCTCCTATGGCAGCACTAACAAGTGTTGAGCAGATCTGCTGCCTGTGACACTGCTGGTGCCAGGCAGGCTGTGTGGTTGGTGCCCAGGTCATTTCTCACCACCACCCTGAGGTTCTTCTTGGCAGTGCTGCTCCCTGGCTGGGGAGCTCCTGATGGGCACTGAAGCCATTATTTTACTCCAGGAGTAACATGTTGCATTTGTCCTTTCTGAATGTCAYAAAGTTTCTGTCACCACATTCTTCCAGCCTGCAGCTATCAGCCTGGTCCTTGTTGACTGTATTTATTGATCCTTCTAGTTTGGTGTCACCTGCACGCCTTATGTGTCTCCAGTGCTGCTGTCAGGTCACTGACAGARGAGTGAACCAGGGAAGGTCCCAGACCCTTGCACTACCGCAGCTGCTCCTGGCCTGCAGGTGAAACAGGACCCATCAACTGCTCTCCTCAGGGACTCGCCATCCAACCGTTTTCATCTGCTCATCCAGACAGTAACATCTGAACTCGGATACAAGAGTGTTTTGGGAGACAGTGTTTAAAACCTTCCTAGTTGAGATAAATAACATGCGCTGCTCTCCCCTCATTCACAAATCCAGCCACGTTATCACAGAAGGAAATCAGGTCAGTCAAGCATGATCAGTCTTGAAGTGACAGAATCTGGCCAAAACTGGGGTTGGGAAGATGGAATGGGGGGAACTGACACTCTAAAATACTTAGAAAGCTACTCACTTTTAAATTCTTCAGATCTTCTTCAATATTTTCTCCTAGGTTTTGATAGTAAAATGGCTTGTATCTTTCACTAATTTCTACAAAAGAAAAAAAGAAAATAACTAAGTGAAGGTGGTTTTCAATGGAAAATACAAGTGACTTGTACTGTTAACAATCTTGATGGATAAGGATGGAGTGAAGACTTCTATGAAGTCAGAAACAGGAAAGTTATACATACATTTAGAATGTGTTCACTTGGTACAATTAGTCTTAAAGCAGTAACAAGAACAGGATGACTTCTAGGGATTTTTTTGTTGTTGTATTGCTTTGTAGGGTGAAATGTCTGTCTATGATCTTTAACTGAGAGCATCTTTCCTTGACTTGCATATGGGAAAATTAGAAGCTAAGACCCAGTACAAGCTCARTCTATTAGCAGGAGTTATGTATGTTAAATATGCCGATAGTAGATGGGTTCCTCCTGGTATACAAACTTTACAAATATTTTTTACAAAATATTTAAGTACCTGCCTGCTATATAAGAAGCTGTTGGTGCTCTTGTCTAAATACAAACCTCAGTTTCCTGTCATGTGCTGGGGTCTTTTTTGTGGGTTGTATTTTTCCTCTTGTTGTTTTGGGCTTTTCTGTTTTGGTTTGGTTTTTTTTTTTTTTTTTTTTTTTTTTTTTTTTTTTTTTTTTTTTGTTTAGGGAGAAAGAAGAGACAACGAGATACAGAATTTTGACTTATTTGCTGAATACTCTTAGTCTCTTTCCCAGACCATTCAGCCAAGACTTCTACTGACTGGAAGTGTTTTGGCATCTGACTATATGAAAGGATGATTACATAGTCAAAGTCAGTCAGATTGCTTATGGAAGAACAATTAGGAAAGCTTTTGAATCTAGAATATTTTGAATAGGATATTTTCTCAGTCGTGGTCAAGGTATACTATATCCCTTGATCTTAGTTTTTCTGTACATTTCAGCAATAAGATTATACTAYRCTGAAGAGAAATTATCAGGTATGRAGGGTCTTAACTAGCTCAATTTAYTTACTAGCATTTCTCAAACCTGTAMATACTGGATCAAATCCTGTTTTTGRTCATGGTACARAGAKCACACTTTATAGAACATATGAATTACTATGTCAGTTTTCAAACAAAAAASGTATTTCAAGAGGAAMATACTCAGGTTTGTTTTGCTGCATAATAAACTATCAACAGACAAACAAAAACAAATCCTAAAATAATGCCTTACCTGCAAAGGTTGGGCGTTTCTCTGACTCTTGATCCCAGCATTGTGTCATTAAGTCAATAATTTCCACCGGACATTTATCACTGATCTCCTTTATGTCTGGTCTGTTTCCATTCATGATGCCAAAGTAAATCTGGGTTACATTTATACTATCTGAAAAATAAAATTTCCTATCAGGTTCTGATCATGGGTTTTGCTACCTTTCCATAACCAAAAAAAACAATAAAGCGTCTCCCTGTGTGAATATGTAAAATATGATTTCAAAGATATCCAAGKTACAGCTACAAATCTTTCATACTAGTGAATTAGAATCCACTGCCCTGACTTGCATAGATTAGAGAGTTATTTTGAGATAATGGATTTRCTTTCATATGTAAAACATGTGCAGTGTGAATAAGGGTGACAAATGCAGCTCTCTAGAACCTGCATCTCAGGTGCATCAGATGTGCACTGGGTATCCAAACAAAGATTGCCAACACTAGCCATTTAATTAGCAAAAAATCCATTCAAAATTATAAATGTGTTACTCTGGAATTCCACAGCTGGTTCCTATTGTTCTACATAGGCCTATTAGTGCATGTTGAGAAATCAGCACCATGCAGCTGAAAATTGGTAACTAACTGCGGGATCATTCCCATTTTCASGCATAACAACTCCACCTCAAGAAATATTGTCTGTCAAAGTTTCCATCCTGGCCCACTCGACGTATGTCTCATTCCTGCCACTAGATCTGGTTTGTGCTCACACCATGTAGATGKATGTTCAGCTCATGGCTGCATTTCATTCAGATGCTCTTGTCCATGCTTGGAAATCAGGACCGATGCAACTACTGCCTTGCACCAGCCATGAGGTACTAAACCAGTGCTATTTTAGGCCATGGATAATTCAATCTACTAATCTTAACTTTGTAACTTCAAATGCTTAATATTTGTAACTTAATATTTTTTTTTAATTTGTAACTTAATAAGCATATATTTGCAATAGCATCCTTTGGGAAGTAACTTACTTTCGTATGGCTCTTTGTTAGCAAAAATTGCCCAGATCACAATGCCAAAGCTGTAAACATCTGATTTCTCCACTGGTTTTGCATTAACAGAGCGTAAATGCTCTGGGGCCATATAGAAAAGAGTCCCAGCATTGTTCTGGCAAGTGCTCTTGATTTGCTTCTGTCGGACAGTTTCTTCTTGGGTCAGCCTACTCCAGCTCTTAAAGGAGGCAACACCGAGATCTGCAATCTGAAAAATGAAACAAGTCAGAGCTAGTGCTGCAATGAAGTATTTCATGCAGTGCTCAATTTCATCAAGACTTAATACTAACCTAATAACTTATCTAAAAACGCTTGAAAAAATACAACTAAAGAAAGGAAAACAAACTATTTGATCCTTTTCCTTGTTTTTCTTTGCTTGTTTGGTTTGGTTTCTGTCCTAAATAAARTATCACTACCAATTGGGAGCAATTAGGCTGAACTTTTATTACTAATGGTGGAACACTTGCACAATGTGAGGMTAGAAGTTTGGTTTTGCTCATATTGACAATCATATTTGAGGTCGGCTTGCAGTGCTCATAGGAGAACAGAGGATTAATAGAAGAGAGGAATCTAAAATTCAAACCTAGAATCAAGACATGAGATGGGCAGATACCTCTCCTTCTTTACTGCCTTTTCCATTTAGATTCCATTTAACTCCATCTCCTTAGATCTTCCTTCAGAAAAGGGGAACAAGAGCATCTAAATCATGTGATACGTATGAGAAAGAGACATGGAAAAGAACAGCATGGAATAAGTTAAAGCAGAGATACCTGGGTACTGTGTGCTTGACAATGTGATATTATTGAAACTTTARGGTGTAGTTTTGCAACCAGACTAGTATCTGGTGATGAAGAGAGTAATCCTTTCCTCCTTTCCCTCAGCCTCCTATTATGTGATCCCTCTGGCTCCTCTTGTTCCAGCACTGACATTACTGGGAAGACCTAGTGCAGGTCACTCAACCAGCTCACGGAACCAAGTGTGCCCCAACAGAAGGGTAGCACTGCCAACAAGGTAAATGGTAATTGCTGGTTTGGCCTTCTAAACCAGGGYAGGGTGATCAGATTAGCACCAGGGCTAACACAAGGCAACAGGAGAYCAAGTGGGGAGGAAAAATGAAAGAAAATGAGCCTGTCTTTCTTGGCCACAGGCAGCTKTCAAACAGAGTTGTGTAACCCAATTACTCCAGATAAAACTGAGGTGACACCTTGCCTCACTTCTAACTSACTTTTCTCTCTTATTGCCCCTAACTAGCTTATTGTTCCTCTTTAGTTTCTGAAGCCTTGGGCTRTGTTTAGAGGTCGTGTCTTCAGAGGAAAGCATAAGTGACATTCTGCTGAGGAAGTAGGAGTCCAGGTTCACATCTACAAGTGAGAGGAGGTCTAACGTGATAGAGAATGATATGACATAAATTTATCTATATTTATCATTTCCTAGAACAACAAATTCCCCTTATAAATATTGACAATGTTAGACACATTCAAACAGATGTACAACARCTGCCTTAAATTATACTTTTGATCAAGCTGCTTAAGGAAGTYTCATCTGATTTTGAATTTGATCCCGGGTTCCAGCTCAGTTTGCCATGAAATATGATGATAGCCTAGTTCAGTCCAGTCCACATAAGCAAGCAGAAACCCAAACCCCCGTACAATTTACCTTTAAAGCAGATGACAATGGGGTTTTTATTTTTGGAAAAGAAATAAATTTATAATTCTTCTCTGCAAGATGCTCTACTGCACTTGCTACTACATTAACTTTGTCAAACAACTTTTCACTAATTTATGTGTGAGAAAGAAAATGACAGAGCTTCCTCAATGGAAATTTATTCTGTAGTTTCAAACTGTAATGGRGTAATTATTTCAGCAACTCACCTTGGCCAGAGACAGGGTATTTGGTGAGAACTGCTGCAAATTCCACTCAGTTTTTTTCCGCAGTAGCCTCTATATCTATGTGTCTTGATCCAAAACCCCRTTAAAGTTAATAGAAGGGCTTTGAAATAGGCTTATAAACCATTCTTTGAAGTAGAGTCCTGATGGCATTTTTTTGTAGCTCCTGGATGTCATTTTAAAATKATGACTATGGGAAAAAGAAGGATACGAAAGAGGAAAAGATAATAGGCAAAAGAAAGAAAGGAATAAAAAGAAGGAGGTGAAGGCAGGAGGAGAAATTACAGCAATGAAGGACAAAAGACAAGACCCATAAAGCATTCTATTTTGTTTTAAACGCTATATTAACATTTGTTTTATCTTTTTAGTTGTTTTGTTATTTATATCTTGTTAATTCTCAACAATATTATCTTTTTAATGCCCTTAGTAATTTTTTTTCACAGTTGGGGAATATTGAGACAAATACTGTGCAAATCTGAGACTCAGAGGATATATAGGCCACTAAAACTCAGTGATCGAGGGCTAACACTCTCTTAGTTATAGCTCACTAAACTACAAAGGCATTCATCTACCAATCCTACCAAGTTAGGAACTCTAACCAGCACAGTTGAAGTGGGCTCTTCAAACCAAATCAACAGCTTTCTCCATTCACATTCTAACAAGTACCTTAATGTGGAAGTCTCTGTCCACAAGGATGTTTTCTGGTTTTAGATCTTTGTGCACAAAGCCTTGCTCATGCAGATACAGCATTCCCTCTGTGATCTCCAGCACAAAACGCCCTCTCACTGACASAGGTAGTGAGAGCTAAAAGAAAGAACAAGAAATGCCATCTATTAAAARATGCAACTACAASAATCAAAACTCAATCTTTAAAAAAYTTCCTCAGTCCCGAAGAGTACCTCTGCTTAAGCCACAGCAAAGAAACCCTGCAAAGAAACCTCAGTGGGTTGAGGGAGGTGATCATCCCACTCTATTCCACACTGGGGTGGCCTCACCTTGAATACCATGTGCAGTTTTGGGCACCACAATACAATACCACAATATAAGAAAGATATTAAACTATTGGARAGTGTCCAAAGGAAGCTAAAAGATGGTGAAGGGCCTTGAGGRGAAGCWGTATAGGAGTGKTTGAGGTCAYTTGAGGTCTGTTCAGCCGGAAGGAGACTGAGGGAAGACCTCACCATGGTCTACAGGTTTCTCACAAGGGGAAGCAGAGGGACTRGTACTGATCTCTTCTCTCTGGTGGTCAGTGATAGGGCCTGTCAGAATGACACAAACTGGATTAGGCAATGTTTAGGTTGGATATTTGCAGAAGATTCTTTACCCAGAGAGTGGTTGYGATTTTTGGGGTTGTCCTGTGCAAGTTGAGCTTGGTAATCTTTTTAAGTCCCCTCCAACTAGGTATATTCTTTGGTTTTAAGGTCCTTCTAGGATTGAATTTTTGGCATTAAAGTAATTCTAGGGTCACTCCATATTTACAAATATTTGCTACATATTTAGCAAATTCTCCRCATCTCTACAGACACTTCTGTAACTTTTTAACCTGTAACTGGTCTGCCTCTCTGTGATGCACAGGAAAGCCATTGTCATTGTCTGCTGTCTCTAGAGAAGGCAGTGCTGCCACTGGCTTTTAAATACAAAAGTAGTAAGAAATTAAAGATTCCATTCTCTGGATATGGCAGTAACACACCATTCCTTTCAAGCAGCTTATCAACCCTAAGGGATGAAGTAATTGATTGCTCACTGTGTTTAGCACTTTCATCATGTTCCCCCGGTCCACATACTCCATCACAAGTGAGTAGTTTCCATCTTCCAAAATGATACCCAGTAGTTTTACCACACGGTCATGCTGCAGTCTGCGCATAATCCTGCCCTCCTCAAGAAGGGAAACATTGTATCTGTAAAACAGACATCACACTGAACTTATGAGCCAGCCTAGAAAGAAAAAATGGATGAAAATTGCACTGATTCTAGATGATAAGCATGGCCAAAAAAGTCAGCTAGAGCCCCTGCATGAATAACCATACCTTCAGCTGATTTTGAATTGATACAGCTTTGTTCATGCCAGGTAATATTCTCTAAGACTCTGCTCCAATGCCTCACAGAGACTGTCTGCTAAGCCTGATTTTAAGGCCTGCTTTTCAGAAATTCCATAAGCATTCTTCTTGTAAGTAGCTGTGTATGTCCAAATCTTTGAGCTGGGATGGGTTCTGGGCAGAACTGAAAGAGCCTTAGGAGAAGGAGGATCAAGACCCAGTCCACTGCTTCTTGTACAGGAAACTTATAGAGGTCTTRTTTCCAAAGGGTTTCATGTTCAAAATCGATTTATTACAAGGGAACCACACACATACTGAATGATGACAGCATTTGCTAACAATTACTGRTTTAGGATGAATTCAAAGCATAACTCTTCACCTGGGCCTCAGTACAATCCATCAATAATCAGAGGTAGATAGCTGGGAGCTCACTAAGGGTGTTAAAGACAGAATCCATTATATAAAATAGAAAAAGAAGTGGTATTTTTGTTATTGCTCCTATTCTAGTCATCAGACAAAAGGAGGTAAGAAAATCTTGAGACTATACCACTTGTTAATGCTTTTCTGCCCTGTGACTTAAAAGGAAACTGCTTTCTTCATCTGTTCCTCTATTACTAGMGAAGAAACTGGTTGTTTTGTTTGCATTAGGCTCAGTTAAAAAATTTGCTGAAGACTTTTGGTTCAATATTTTAAGAAATAACAAAATTATAAACCCGTGTAGTGAGAAAATAAAAGTACAAGCCCAAAAATACACTTGGCAGGCTTGTCCATTTTAACTGCAGTCATCCCAARCTGCCATTGCAGTTTGCAAACTACTAGAATCTCTACATTTGCTTTCCACCAGCAAAATAAAATCTCAGTGAATTTATTTATCATAACCCAAAGAAGAAAGAACATGGAATTTTGTCTCTCTCTAGTGGATGAGTCATGGGACAGTTGTAGGATTGTTATGGCTGTGTGGTAGTAGAGCTGCAATGTGACCTGAATCCAGCGAAATCAACAGCTAATTCAATCCTTAAATTAAATCAGTGGGCTTGACTCACTCTGCTCTTTCTCAAGGGAGAGAGGGTTGCATTCCTGGTATTACCCACATGGGGTTGGAGTCCTGCTGATAGTTTATGTGCATTCAGTTTGTAGTGGGCATCTACTGTTGGATAATTACATTGAAAACATATCTGCAAGTTTGAGAGTATCAGGTGGTCACTGAATTCCTGCTTCTCCTTAAGTGTCAAGAGTCCTCTTGATTCCTAACAATTCATGATAGTGCTCATCTTGTATCAAAAACCAAGAACTTCACTGTAACAATCAGTTAAAACCAAAAAAGTTGGTCGTGAGGGAAAAAAAGGAAAATTTGCAGGACAGCTGTTAGCATTGTCTCATTTTCCCCTATACAGTGTCTCCAGAATCCAAACAYCTGAAATTATTATTCTGTTTAGGTTTATCTTAATTGAATTTARAGGACTTAGACTAACAGAAATAAAAATCAAAACTGAGATCTGTAACTTACTCAGTGCGCTGTGGTCCTGTATACACTTTTTTTAATACTACATATCCATGTTTCTTGTGAAAGCATAAAGAAATTGTTCCAAATCCTCCAGCATCTAATTGTTTTTCTTCAACCAAATCCTTGGTATTCATGTGGATATCTTCCAGAGACATGGCTGCAGTCTTTGTGGCTTAGCAATTAAAACATAATCAAGTACCCTCGTGCTTCTGGAGCTGTAGTATACCGGAGGAAAAAGAAGTGTCATTATAAAGCATTTAGCTRTTCCACTAAATAAGTATATATTTGAGGAGTGGGACAGAAGCAAAAACTCTCTTATGAACARAGGGGCTCAGCTGGAAACCCAAGATGCTGTGGTCCTCACAGAATCAGACCCAGAAATCCCAATGTTTTATCCTGTTAACCCACTACAGTTATATTCAGTTGATGTAAAAGCTTTTCTTTACCTGAAGATCTCAAAATGTTGTTGATAACTAGTTTTTATCTGTATAATATGCAGTATGTTCATATGCACAAAACCCAAACCCCAGAAAAATCAAGGTGCCTTGTCTCAAAGGCAGGTGCCTTCTGGTTCATCTGTCTTCAGAATTGTCTGAACAGGGGCCTGTCAGGTTCTTATATAGCTCTGAGCTACCTTCTATGCATCTTTGCAAACCTAGCACTAAAGGGGTTGTTTGACGCTTAAACCAAACAGCCAAACAAAAGGGTTCTCTGGAGGGTGAAGGACTCAGCTTCTATGGGAAACCGATYTGCACGTGAACTCAAGGAGACAAGTGCCAGGAAGGAACATGTATGGCAACTTCTCCTCTGCCCATCCAAAAGAAAAGGAACAAAGAAACTGGGAAGACTTGTAGTAACTCCCAAGTGCATGAAGACAAAAAGAGAGTTTGAGGGATCCTATGAAATGAGTAAGTAATAGATAAGTAAACAGATAAGTAATAGTTAAGTAAATGCCAATGGATGCCAGAATAAYCCTTTGATAAAGCTGTGGTACTCTCTTGCCTAATATGTTTCCCAGGCTAGACAGCCTCTGCCTTGAGCACATGCCAGCAAGCTGCTTTGCTAGCACTGGTGCAAGCCAACAAGCTCTGCTATTTTTCCTTACTAAATTTTTAACTTAAGCACATTACATCAGGTAAAGAAATAGGGTTGAAAAGATGAAGTCCCAGAGACTGACAGGGCTATTCRTTTTCCACTCATCTTAGGTCACTAGACATGACAGACAGAGCTGGGAGAAAGGAAACACCTCTAAGTGCCACTATCAGCAACAGCAGATTGGCTCTTTTGGGTAACTAGGAGCTCTAAATAGTTAGCAAAAGACTCTCWAGTTTTTCCAGACCAACAAATGACTACTAACTCCTGTAAACTACCATGCACCTSTATCATCAAATCTCTAATTGAAAAGACTGCTTAATGTTGTTGTGAACATCAGCTGCAGCCTAATTTTGACTGCTTCATTACCACAGGCTCTATAGGGACCCTGGGAACTAAGGAGTTAAATGATAGTATCTGTGGACAGTAGCTGTGTGAGGGAAGAGACATGTTTCAGTGCCAAACTGGAAATGGTCTGATCAGTTCAATACTAACAACCCAAAAAAGGGAAGAGTAAATTCAATTTAAAAAAAAAAAGTGCCAGTAGAAAAATTAGAACAAGAGCTTCCTCTTCAAAACACGTATGGAAACCCTACAGGCTGTTGTAGTACAGATAGGGAACCTCTCTCCACCCAGAGCGGTGTCCTCTCTTCAGARTTTTCTGCTTTGGCTTTCCTGACTTCAAAAAGATGCAGGTTTTTGTTTTGCTGCAGTGCTAGGGTGCGTTATGAGCACAGGACTGAGGATACGGCTGCATTAATTTAGTAAGAAGGTAAGTTCTGACATGCCTAGTAATGGTTAGAGGAGATTTTTCTTGTGTTTTGTTTGTTTTAGTGTGTTTTTTTTTATTAGTTTCCTTTTCAAATTCTTTACAGCCAATCAAATAGCTGAGTAACAAATTACTCATAGCAGCCACTACTCCTTTTGTAGCTGAGCTTTCATCTCCCTGCAAGATTCTGGTGATAGATTTCTTGAGGTGCTGTAACAGACTTTTGTACAGGTGAGGTGGATGTCACATGTACAAGGGCCTAAATTCAGTAATGAGAGTCAAACGTGGCATAAGCTAGTATCTTCCTTCTTTATCTGGTCTCCCTTTCAAGAACTGGTTTGAAGTCACTTATGTATGTTAATTTTTCCACACTAACAGCAATTATGCATCTAGGTAGTAGTTATAAGACTTGCACATGCTTTTCTTGTGAAGGCAAAGTAGATGTGTATTTTTGAATGGTGACTCTCTAAAGCTGCATTAATACCACTGATAGCTTGGGACTGGCATTCAATGCCATGTAACCTGGCAAAAAAAACAGCTCTGTCACAAACTGCAACAATAGAGAACCTTGTTTCTGCTTACATTGTGAATACCTGTTCCTACCGAGCAGCATGTAGTCACTATAACCAAAAGTCTTGGACATTCAAAAGAAATAATAACTTCTAAAATCATAAGGTATCTGCTGGCGTGAGTTAGGTAACATTCAAGAAGAGGGAATTTTCTTATRAGATGGGAGGGAACCTTCTTCCTTGGACATGGTAGGATGCTACTACTTTTTTTGCTGTTATTATTAAGTAATGAGGTGCTCCAAATAGAAGCTCTCTGATCYAATGACTTATTTCAAACCCAAAGGATTTTTAGTAGAATGAATATCAAAGGAAAGCAGTCTCTAATTAGTCTCTAATTAGACTTTAAAGTAGACTGCTTATTCTGGTGTACTATTTAACATGAGACATTGGCTTATGATACCTTGAAATGTCGTATGACAAAAAAAAATCAAGAATGGAAACTCAAAGACTTAAGTTCATTCCAACCTTACTGCTTCTTATTGAGATACAGGGCAATTTCTGTGCATCCTCAGTACTTAGGACACCAGTGCATACATTATGTATCTGTGGTTAAGTAAACAGAAATTTTGTAGTTTGATTTAGCCTACCCACTGATTATAAAACAGTGTTTTTCACACACTATTCTGAACATCTGTATTAGGGTGGGTTCATATTTGCCAAGTGCCAACATGTATTATGAAAATTTTGAATACTGATTGCTAGAAGAAAGGAATTTTTGTCCACCAGTATTGACTGGTGTTCTTTAGAGAAGGATAGAAGTGCAGTAAGTGGGTCTATGGAATTTTTATTTCTAAGACCATGGTTATGTCCTCTTTAACCCCAAAAGAGCATATAAAACTCACAAGAACTGTGATGTGAACATCAGGTCATCAGGTCATACACCGTTCAAAAGTGTTTTTCTCAGTTCTAACAGCTTATAACGGATCTGATGAGACCTGCACGGTTAAAGAGGAACGCCGTGCATTAGCATGGGAATATTAAAACACAGTAATTGCAGGCTTTGTAGTCTAATGATGCTCACAGCACATAAGTTCTTGAGAAGTGCTACAAAGTATAATTGGAGAAAATTAGCACATTTACAAGTCATTGAGTGAGAAAGGAAGGGAAAGGGATGAAGAACAGGAGCCAAAGCAGGCAATTCAAATGGGTAACACGAGACAAACGAAAAGGTTGCTACAGCTGAAGACAAAAATACTGCATTGTGTGAATGATGTTGCCAAAGCTGCCAGGGCATCTCATCTCTGTTGCTATCATAAYGCCCTGCATCTAAACCATTCCCTTCTGCTCAGCTTTTTCAGCTCACTCCTCGTTTCACTAAGAAATTATTATTTTTTCTTTTTTCCTTTTGGAAATAACAAGAAAATACCTGTGTCAGATCATCAGCAGGTTACAGAAAGGATCACGTGGGAAGGGGAGGAGAAGCCAATACAAGGGAAACAAAGGTGTTACGTAACACACGTTTTCATATGAGCAGAGGTAGCSTGGGAAGAGGAAAGGATGGGGTCTGTGCAGTGACCTGTACCCTTGCAAAGATGCCACAGTAGGTTCTGGTCACAACAGTGTGCATTCCGTATGGGAATCGGGACAGACCGTCTCGGCTGCAGAGCCGCTGCTGTCGCAGACGGGCTCCTGCAGCCGCTGCCGCGCCCTCCCGCTCAGCCCGACCGCGCCGCCCGGGGCGGCCAGCGCCAGAGGCATCCGCTCGCCGCGGGGCCGGGAAGATCTACCGCGGGGCTTCTCTGGCCTAGTTCCTCCTTGGCCGACTTGCCATGTCGCCCTTCTCCTCCTTCTCCCGGCGGCTTCCTGCCGCCGCGGCCTCCTCTCCTCGCACACCGCGCTCCCCCGACCCGCCGTCTCCCGCTCCCCCGTGCACAAGCGACTCCCCTCGGCAGGGTGGGATGGGATAGAGGGGATGTAGCGCCGCAACCCCGCCGGGCCACCTCACCTCGGAGTCCGTCGCCCCCGGGGCACCGCCACTCGCACCCCGCAGCGGCGGCGGCGCCTTTGTACGGCGGGGTCGCCGCGGTGCTTTCGCTTTCGGTGCAGCAGCGCGGCCCCTCCCGCTGCTCCCGCTGCCCCGCTCCCGGCGCTCCAGCCTYACCGCGCCGCAGCCGCGCTCCTCCGTTCTGCTCTCTAGCGGCGCGGGCTGAGCTCTTTATATGCTTAAAACTACGGTACTGACGCAGTTACCGGAACGATGATTCATTTATGCCTTGTTAGGCTTTTTAGGCCTCTTGGCAATGCCTTTCGTTATTGGAATTTGGGAATATAGAAATATTTTTATTCGGGGAGGGCAAAAGCAGGACTTATCTGACTTGGGTCCCAAATAACGGTCCTGCAGAAATACATAACCAAAAGGATCGCTGTAAACGATCTAGTTCATCCTTCTCCAGAGGTCAGGTGTGTTGTTAATGCATCTTCCTTACATCAGGGCGATCCCTTTGCCATTCTTCCATGGAAATGATGGCGATGATGATCAGGTCGTTGCCCTGGTCTTTCCCATTCTGGGGAACTGTTGCACTCTCCACGGTGCTTTAAAGTGGCACTATTAGAAGAGCAGCAGCAGATCAATAGAAGGGGCACGAGGCAAGCAGGGCAATAGAAGCCCACGAATTATGTCTTTCAATTCTCCCTATAATCCATTTACCATTATCTGCTCTTTTAGGGTTTGTGCATTGGGCGTGTATCTGCCGGGAGCAGGGTGCTCCTCCCTTCCAGCTTTCTGAAAGGTGTCTCATGGGAAAGACAGGTGGGATACCTAAGGWTGCAGGTGGCTGTGGGTGAGGAGAGGTAGAACTTGATGAT